CCACTGTGGATCAGTTCCTGCCTCTGCACCCACCTTAAACCTCCAATCCTGACCTGGGGGTCTCATGGTCTCTTAAGGATCTCCTTTCAGATTCCCCTCAAGATTCTCAGGGTCAGATTGTCCTGAACTGGCCTCAGTATCTCCCTCAAAACCTGTTTCTCTGTTTTCCTACCCCCATCTTGGACCCGCCTCCCTCCCTGGGCCACTCGGTCACCTGAACACCTGTCCCACCTGGCCTTCTTCTCTTCCAACAGCCTGGCCCAGTCCTGCTCTCTCCTGCTGGGGCCCCTACCTTCTTCCTTGCATTTATTGCCACTAGGCAGCCTGAGGGATTTTTCTGAAATGCAATTTTGGCCTCATCCTCCTCTGCTCAAAAGCCTCCCATAGCTCCCCATGGCTCAGGATAAGACACCAAACTTATCACCAAGGCACAAGGTCCTATGAGCCCCAGTCCCTGCAGACATCCGTTGGCAGCTCTCCACGTTCTTCTCGCTCCTCAGACACCACAGACACTAAGCTCATCTTTCTCTCTGAGTTCTGGCCTCTGCTGTCCCCCCACGGTGGGGACATTCTTTCTCTTCCACCTCCTCACCTTCATCCCCAGGGCCTGGCTGGTGGAAAAGGCTCCTACCTTGGACCTGAGGATACTTCAGAAGTAGCAGGAGGGCGTAGGAGACAGTGGCACTGACTGTCACAGTCCCAGCAAATAACAGATAAATGACTGTCATCAGCAAGTTCTTCTCGGTGAATTCTGTGTTTGGATTTTGCTCCTCCTGGGAGAAACCAGGTAGAGGGGTTCAGAGAACACAGGCTACGGTGAGCAAAGGGTTGGGGTGCGGCACAGCCAGCTAAAGCTTTGTTGTGGAATTGGAATCAATGCTTGGGGAGGGTTGGGAAGTGAGCTTCTGATAGGAGTTCTCACAGGTAGAAAAGTTTTAAAAAAATTTAAGATACAGGGTGATATATTTTTTTTTTTGGAAATGATCTCTTTTTACGAACAGTGTGGCTGCATTTATTTGACGATTGTGGCCTTGAATATCTCCTATAATTTCTAAGTCTGTACAACGCCCCGCCTCAGGGAGGAGTCACCTGCATTCTACTTTTTCTCAGATAATGAATAAAATGGATTTTATTCATGTAGTTTGATCTTGCGAGGTTTCATCATTAAATGATTGCAGGTCACCTAAATGTCAGGTGTGGGTGGGAGGAGCAGGAGGTGGGGTGAAGGGGTCGTGGGAACTGCGGGTAATGCGGTAAAGGAGTCCGAGGTTAGAGGGAGAGCAGGGAGAGAGAGAGGGACCCTGATACTCAAGCACACACTAGGTGGGGGAGCAAGACCACATTGAAGGAGACAGACAGATATGAATGCATACACACACATGCATCTCACATATACAGGGAAGCACACAGACAGATATACACACCCGCATAGACACAGACACAGGGAGGCATACCGAGCGGCAGATACACACACACACACTCACACACACGGAGTCCTGGTGTGGCGCTGCACAATAATGCGATAGACTGAAAGGTTGACTAGAATCACAAGTCAGTGGTTCAAGGTCACCAGCTGCTTCTTGGAAACCCTCCACTGGGTCCTTTAGTTGGGACCGACTCCACGGCACTTAACAACAACAACAACATACATACACACATAAACATACATGCAGACATGTACCTACACATGGAGGCATAAGACAGCTCTAGACATACATGCACACACATACATAAATGGAGAGGTCTACAAAGAACCAGAGAGACACACACCTGCATACACACACACAGGGAGGAGCACAGATATAGACACACACACGCACACATGTATATATAGAGAAGCATACAGAGAACCAGACAGACAGACACACTGCATACATACACAGGGAGGAACACAGGTATAGACACACACACACACACACACACACACACACACATGTATATACAGAGAGGCATACAGAGAACCAGACAGACAGACACACGCCTGCATACACACACACACACAGAGGAAGGCATACGGACAGAGAGTCAGAGACCCGACAGAGACTCCCAGCTATACCAGCTCTGTTCAGGAGGGATCCCTGACCTGCGCTATCTTCAGCAGGAAGGCATCCACGACGTCTCGGGCGGGGCCAGAGGCATCCAAGTCACCCCGGTGCTGCTGTACCTGTTGTATGGCGAAGGCAGCCAGGGTGCCCACATGGCAGAGGAGCTGTGTGTGGGAGCCCGGCAGGGGCCGCAAGAACCAGGAGAACATCTCCAAGCTCTGGGGGAAGAAGGGCAGCTGGTTCTCATGGGGGCCTGGCTCGACATGTGGCTGAGAGGCGTTCTAGGGACTTCCTGGAAGAGGCTGGACAGGAATCTTTGTGGGAAGGAAGCCAGACAGGGGTCCCACCCACTTACCTGGCCCCACGGGGAGCTTATCCCAAGCAGAGTGCCATTAGCTGCTCGGACCACAGCCTGAAAGTCCTTGTCCGTGTAGGGAAAGCGGAGGCCGAAGGTGAGAGAGCAGATGATGTTGGAGGTGGCTTGGGCCAGCAGTAGAGAGGGGTCAAATGGCTGTCCTGGAGGGGAAGGGGATGGGGCTAGGATGGAGACTGGCGGAGATATAGAGTGGAGGGTGAGCATGACCAGAGACAGACAAGGAGAGAGACAGGCAATGCTAGAGAAAGAGAAGAGAGAACGGGAGAGGCGGGGAGAGAGAGAGGAGCGGCTGGTGGATTAGAACCGCTGATTTTTCAGTTAGTAGAGGAGTACTGTAACCACTGCACCTCTGATAGTACCAGAAAGAGACATCCTGACCCAGAGACGCAGTAGGACAGACACGGAGGGTGGAGGAGATGAGTTGGAGGCAAACGGAGGCCCCAGCCCGGCCCTAGAGTCCAAGGCATCCTTTTTCGCTCATTCTCAGGCTGGACTGGGAACGTCCCCCACTTCCTACTTCAGGTAGGGCCTGGGGACACTGGGCTGACCTTCCATCTCCTGGAATGCCTTCACCAGACACTGGGCCTCAGCCTGGATCAGCTGCTCGCCTTCGCGCTTCCCCATGCCCAAGTCGCGCAGAGTGAGAAGGGTGAATTTCCTCAACTGCCGCCAGCGCTCCCCATTGGAGAAGAAAACCCCTGTGAAGGACAGGCTCAAGAAGGGACTGGTCCTCTCCCTGCTCCTACACTCCTATTTCCCTCCCAGTGAAGAGCATCCTCACATCCAAGCTCAGCATAGGACTAGGACTCAACACTCCTCTTCCACTCTGTGATTAACCATTAACCTGGGTGACTGAATGGAGATTTCATCCTTCCTTTCATGCATCTTTTTATCCCTATTAGCATCCTTCCAGGAGCCCTGGCATGGTGCTGTAGGATAAGCACTGGACTGCTAACCACAAGGTTGGCAGTTCAAACCCACCAAGTTGCTCCTTGAAAACCCTATACAGGGTCGCTATGAGTTGGAACCGACTTGGCACTTAACAACAACATCCTCTCTGGTGGCACTAGTAGACTGCTAACTGCAAGGTCAAACCCACCAGAAGCTCCTCAGGGGAAAGATGAGACTTTGTGCTCCCGTAAAGATTTACAGCCTTTAATGAGTTGGGATCGACTCAATGGTAGTGGATTTTACCATCCTGCCAGGAATACTAGCAGCACATCAGGTGAAAGCTCAACCTCAATCTGAAAGGCCAGTGATCTGAACCCACCAGCCTCTCCGTGGAAGAAAAGACTTGGTGTTCTGTTCCCATTAAGATTTCAGCCTCGGAAACTCTATGGGGCAGTTCTCCTCTGTCCTGAAGGGCTGTTTTGAGTGGGAATTTACTTGATGGCACCCAAGAGCAACATTCCTCCCAGGAGTTGCTGAGGAGGGCAAATGGTCAAGTGTTGGTCTCTAACCAAAAAGTTGGTGGTTCAAAGCCACCCAAAGATGCCTCGGAAAACAGCCCTGCTGATCTGCTTCTGAAAGCCTTATAGAGCTGTGGTTAAAACTTCTGCCCATGTCTGTCCTCCCTTCTCCTCTATCCACCCATCCCAATGTTTATGGAGTATCTGCCCTGGTGGGTAAAGCATCAGGCTGCTAAACACAAGGTCGGTGGTTCAAACCCACCAGCCACTCTGAGGGAGAAAGAAGGATGAGGTTGTCTGTTCCCTAGAGGATTTCAGTATCGGAAAACTTATGGGGCACAAACTCTGTTCTGCGATGGAGTCAGTTCTGACTCATAGTGACGCTGGTTTCTGAAGCTGTAAATCCTTATGGGAGTAGAAGGCCTCATCTTTTGCCCATGGAACGGCTGGTAGTTTCTAACTGTTGCCTATCTCTAATCGACTATTATCACCACAGCTCCTTACTCTGTTCTATAGGGTTGGTATGAGTTGGAATTGACTCCAGGGCAGTGGAGTGGGTGGGACTTTGTCTCGGGTCACCATGTAGTTTGAGGGGGGTAGAAACTGCACTGTTTCCTTCCTTTATCCAGGACACCTGCTCTGGGCCGACACTCCCTGTCCTTCCAAGCTCTATGTTGTCTCGTGGAATGCGTTCTCCTGGTGTCCACTGCCCCTCTTCTGCAGTGCCCCAAACTGACTTTGGTGGCTCTCCAAGCCTGTCCTAATTTACCTTCCTCTGTCCCTGGCCAGAGCCCTGGGCCTGACCCTGATCACCTGTTCCACCCTCTCCTCCTCGCTTCACTGTCTCGGCCCTGGCCTCCTCTTGGGCTCCCTCCAGAAAGCTGACCACAGTCTTTTCAGCTTAGATGCTACCGTTCCCAGCCTTCTGGCTCTGGAGTGACTCACACATACTCTGCAGCATGCTCAGGCTCCTGCAATTTCTCCAGTTTAATTACTCATCCAGCTACAACCCTTCTGGCTTCTCTCACTTCCTCAAATCTGCTGCTTTCCCGCCAACCCTCCAATTCCTTCTGCCTGGATCACTCTCACCTATGCAGAACTCCACCGGGCCTACTCTGAGAAGCCTTCTGATGGGCGCTCTCTGCCCCAGTCAGCACAGGTCCCTCTGCTCTCAAAGCTGTGCCTTCCTCCCTCCACAGTCTTCTGAGCCTGTCTCTCCCACAGTTTGGGAGAATACCACATCTGTCACAATCATTGCTGTGTTCCCAGTACCCAGGATTGTTGTTGTTAAGTGTTGTCAAGTCGGTTCCGACTCATCGCGACCCTGTATAGGGTTTCAGAGGAGCAGCTGATTGAGTTTGAACTGCCTATCTTGTGGTTCATTATCCTACAGTGCCACATCAGTACCCAGGATTGTTGTTGTTGTTGTCAAGTGCCATCAAGTCGGTTCCGACTCATAGCAACCCTGTATAGGATTTCCAAGGAGTGGCTGGTGGGTTTGAACTGCCGACCTTATGGTTTACAGCCAGTGCTTATCCTACAGAGTGACAGCCGGACTCCGGCACCCAGGATAGGGCCAGGCATAATAAAAATTGGCCACTTGAACAAATGAATGAATAAACGAATGTTTTTTCTCTCACATCCATGCTTTTGTATGTGTTCTTTCTGTCTGGAACACCTTTTCTCATTCTAGAGTCTCAGTTCAGATACTCCCTGTACTCCCTCCTCCAGGAAGCCTTCTGGGCTTTTCCCACCCCTCAGGTCAGGTGCCTGCCAGATCCTGGCCTTGTTCTTTCTGTCTGCACCTCCCCCCATTCCATAGTGGCCTTTGTTGAGTAGAACCAAGATGATAAATTCACATATAACTCTACATTTCTGCTCACTCGCCTAGAGAAGGTAGAGGCAGACAACAGGAGCCTTCTAAGAATGCCTATAGTCACTGATAAGGGACCAAGTTCAAGCTGTGGGTAAGCCTTGTACTGAGAGACCTCTGTTGTTAAAGATGTTAGGTATTGATGAGTTTCTCTCTATTGATTTTCTCAGACAAAATCCCACATGGGACCTAGTTCTGTGCTCTGACTATCCGTCACTCAGAAGAGCCTGAAGCTCTTCTACTCCCTCCTGAGCCCTCAGGAGCTTCACCTAGAGCAAAGAAAACACTGTTGTTGTTGTTGAGTGCTGTGGAGTCAGTTCCGACTCATAGCCACGCTGTAGAGGGTTTCCAAGGAGCGGCTGGTGAATGTGAACATGGTAAGCCGTAATTCCTGAGCTCTTACTTTGTACAAGGTCCTGTCCTCATTCAATCCTTAATTCAATACAACCTTGTACCACAGGCACTCTGATCACCCCATTTTACAGATGAGGCAACAGAGGCAAAGCCATGTGTGAAGGTCACATACCAGAAAGTGAAGGAGCCAGTCCCTATCCCCTGGCCCACAGCCTCCTTCTAGACTCACCATGACCATCAAAGGTCCGGTCCAGTGTTGCCAATGTCCCCCGTCCACTGAATTCCTCAGCCTGCTCTCCCAGGGCCTCACGCACAGCCTGGTGCCCAACTAGGACCACCACACGCCGCCAGGGTCCCAGGTACACGGTGAACACTGGTCCATATTTCTTACTCAGCTGGGGCAAAAAGGTAGGACCTTTTTCAGTGCAGGGAATGGTGCCTTGCTACCTGGTCTGGCTTCTGTTCCCTCTACTAGAACACTCCTTCACATCCCATGCAGAAATGGCCCTCTGGAAACATTCAGTCCCTTTTTGCATCAAGTTCCCAGAATCTTTTGGACCGCCCATCCTCCTGTCTTCCTGTCCCCACTCCCTTACCTCCCATAAAACCTAAATTCTGACCCTGGGGCAACTCAGAACTCCCTAAGCCGATACAAGGCAGCAGAAATGTGCAGCTGCCCCCAACTATGAGCCCCCAAATGTCCTCAGCTCCATACCCACAACATCTAGCCACTCCCTGTTATGCCCAAATTCTGGAGCCAATATCCCTGAGCTGTCTCTTCTCAAGGACTCTCAACCCCTTTCTAAGTCCTGAGAGCTCACCCCGGGACATTTTTTTTTTTTTTTTTTTTAATGGGGAATTCTTTCTCATCATCTTCCTTCCAGTTTTCTTTCTAGCGCTCCTTCCCTTCTCAGTTCCTGGAATTTCGCTCTTGCATAGCCAACTCCTCTTCTCCAGAATCTCCACCAGCAGATTCCTTTCCACCAGGACTCTTGAGTTTGTTTTTTTTCCCTTCACCTTGGGACATTCCCTTTCTCAGTCCCTGGTCTGTTTCTGGAAGCCCCCTACTCTTCTTCTTTCACAGGTCTCCAGACACCCCTTCCTTCATGCTTCCCACTCCCCACCCCATTCTCTTTTCTTCAGAGTCCCGGGCATCTTTGCCCCATCCTCAGGGGACCTCCCCTTTGTAACCACTCCCAACCCCCTCACCAGCTCCTTTTCTGCACAAGGGTTTTCAAACGGTTTCATTCCATTTGGAACCTCGGACTGAGAATTTGTACTCTTACATATCCCCAAGGTGATTCTTTTGTAGACCCCGGGGATCTTGTTAAGATCTAGATTCTGATTGGTTCTATCTGGGCTGGGAATGCAAATTATCTGAAGAGGGTGGAACTAGAAAGAAATCGGTTCAAAGCCTTGGGCTCCGCAGTGTTCACTCTGATTCTGGCCCCCACCTCCTTCCCAGGATCTTCCCTGGGACCCTGTCTTTTGGGTTCCCGGTTCCTCCTGTCACCCCCTTCCCAGAATTCTGGCGTCGAGGCCCCTTCCCTGCTTGGCCGTTGTTCTCCATCTCCTCTTTCCTTCAGGAATCCCTCCTCTGCTCAGCTCTGCACGGCGCCCCATCAGAAGACACCAGTAGTCCCTTTTGCCCTGAGCCCCTGTCTCCTCTCTAGAATACGAGAAAAGCCCCCAGCCCTGGGACCCCGGCTTCTCCCCGATAGTCAGGACGTCCCAGCTGTCCCTCACCTGCATAAGCCCCGAATACAGTGCCCCAGGTCGGAGTTGCAGGAGGTTCCCCAGCAGAGGTAACGGCGCGGGACCGGGAGGCAGATGGCCTTGGGATCGAGTCCTGGGCAACGCCAGGATCAGCGCCACCATCAGCAGCAACAGCAGCAGAGCCCAGGTGCCTGCAACCTCCATCTCGGAGCCTTCTCTTCGCTTTCAGGCGTTACACGCGGTTGGGCCAGTTAAGGGCAGGGAACCGGACGGCTCCTCCCCAACGAAATCAGGCGGAGAGAGGAGGAGCAGCGAGTCTTAACCCCGCTGTCCTGTTTCTCCCATTGCTCTGCCGCTGTCTGGTATTGGCAACATTGTGAGTGGCTCCAAGGTTTGCGCCAGGCTCGGGGGCGGAGACAACGCCCTGGGCTCCAGGTAGGGCGTGGGTAAACAGGAGGAACCTGGAAGTCTGAGGCTTTGACTGCCTCTAGGCGGCCCCACCCAGCGCCTGGTGGTGACCCCGCGCCGCTACACTCACGGGAATTGGGAGTGTGGGAGCGCGTGCATGGAGGTGGGAGCGGCAGGAGTTTGAATCTCTCCTCTTTCACCTTCACCACAAACGAGGCGTTCCAGAGAAGTAAACGGCCATGGGTCACACAGGTAACAAGCAGTAGAACTGGAATTTGAACTCGGGCCCCCCTGACTGATGGGATCATCAATACATTAATTGGTTTATTTAGAGGTATCAGGTTGTTGTTGTTGGGTTCCTGGTACGGCGCTGTAGGATCAGCGTTGGATTGGGAATCGCAATTCAAACCCATAAGCCGCTCCTCAGAAACCTTATACGGGGTTGCTATGAGTCGGAACCGACTCAAAGGCACTAAACAACAACAAAATGTTGCTATTGCAGGGGCGCTGTGGGGTGAAGCACCCACGACTGCAAGGCCGGTTTGAACCACAAGGTCGGAGGGTCAAATTCACCAGCTGCTCCTCAGAAACTCTATACAGGGTCACTACAAGTGGGAACGGACTCATCGGCACTTAACAATATTAGGTTAGGTGCCAGTTTTGATTCATATCGAACCTGTATAGGGTTTCCGAGGAGTGGCTGGTGGGTTTGAACCATCAACTTTGTAATTGGCAGTCCTGTACTTATCCTTCAGTACCACACCAGGACTCCTGAATAGGGTTGTTGTTGTTAGTGCTGTTGAGTCGGTTCCGATCCACAGCGATCCAGTATAAGGTTTCCGAGGAGCGACTGGTGAGCTTGATCCGCCGACTTAGCGGTTCAAACGATTTAGCGGTCCAGCGCATTAACCCACAGCGCCACACCAGGACTCCTGAATAGGGTTTGCGATCCGGTATAGGGTTTCCAAAGAGCCGATGGTGGGTTTGAACCACGTACTTTGCAGTTAGCAGTCCAGTGCTTGTCCTACGGCGCTACACCATGGCAAAAAGATGGCAGCGCCTTTATCTAGGTGAGGAAGATGAGGGAAGGTGAGGGGTCTCAGTGAGGTGGAGTCTGGTGGAGCTGGTTTTTCTGGAGGGAGGAAAATAAGGAATTCTCCTTTGACCTGTTAAGTTTGAGATACATTCCCAGGGGTAGGAGTGAGCTGGTGGACAGGTTAGAACTTGAATGTGATACCTCTGGGAATCTTTCAAGGAGTTCTGGTGGTGCTATGAGCTAGGTGTTGGGCTGCTTACAGAAAAGTCAGCTGTTCAAATCCACCAGCTGTTCTGGAGAAAGATGAGGCTGTGCACTCTGATAAAGATTTACAGTTTCAGAAAATAGGACCATTATGAGTCAGAATCGATTTGATAGCAGTGGATTTAGTTTAGTTTTTTTTTTTTTTTGGTAGTAGGGAGGGATCTTTGCTGGAATCAAAGGCCAAGGGAGACAGGAGTAAAAGACTTACTTGACCCCAGACCCTAGTAAGCATTGTGACCATTACCTTGAGATAAAGGTCTTTGGACTAGAATAGAAATGACAAGGTTGCAACTATTCCAGTAGTCTAATGATTTAATCAAGAGGCACTCATTTGAACAGAACAAAGGGATACCGTGTGGTTTAAAATGGAAAAAAAAGTGTGCCACATTACTTACTCAATCCATATGTTGAACAAATAATCTGAGAAACTGGACTACATAAAGAACCAGCATCTGCATTGGAAGAACACTCATTAATAGCCTGAGATTTGTAGAAAATACAACCTTGCTTGCTGAAAATGAAGAGGACTTGAAGGTAAAAGACTACAGCTTTCAGTGTGGATTACACCTCAACATAAAGAAAATGAAATTTCTCATAACTGGACCAGTAAACAACGTCATGATAAATGGTGAAAAAGTTGTCAAGAACTTCATTCTTCTTGGATCAACAATCAATATCCATGAAAGCAGCAGTAAGAAACCAAAGGATGTATTGAAATGGACAAATCTGTTGCAAAAGACCTTTTTAAAGTGCTGCATTAGGGCTTAAATTCCGGAGCACTTGATTTATGGAAGGCTGCAGGGCCCACCAGGACCCTTAATTCCATTTTTGAAGTCTTCATATGCCATTTGAGTTCTTTATGTTACTCCCCTAATGCTTGTTGACCATTAAAGCGGTAGTGTGGCTATTCTTAGACAAGTCTGAGACAAGCCCCCTGGGAATGGCAGCTTGCTTTTAGGAAGAGTGTGGTTAAAAGTAGATTAACCAGCATGCAGAAAGTGCTCTCACAAAGAACTAGGGAATTTATCTGGGCATAACTGAAAGTAACCAGTCATGTTATGTAATTTAAGATAAAAGTTGGAATCCTATGTCTTGTAACCACCTCGTGGCTATGATGCAGGTTGCCTGATCACCTCCGCCCTCTCCATAGCCAGCTAACCAAAACCCAATTTTTTAACCTTCAGTTATGGTCTTCCTTCACTTCTATAGTCTCACCCGAGACAGCGGAGATTTCCTTTGTCCTATGTCGTATGTAATAAAAACTATGGCCGTGAGTCTGCGGATTCTATTGGCCTCCGTACCGACTTGATGGTTTCCTTCATTCGGGATGATTGTCTTTGTTTTGTCTTTGTCTTGTTTAAGGCTTAATAAAAGGGTCTTTATAGAGCATGTTTGAATCTGGGGTGCCCCCCTTGTTGTTGTTGTTAAGTGCCATGGAGTCACTTGTGACACAGTGTTTAAAAAAACAAAGATGTCATTTAGAGAACTCAGGTGTGCGTGACTGAAGTAATGGTATTTTTCATTGCTTCACGTGCACGTGAAAATTGGAAAACGAAAAAGGAAGACCGAAGAGTTGATGAATTGGTAAGTAAAAAAATATTGTTAATGTATTGGGGTTCCAATATGTACATGCACAGATTTACTCCAAGCAAAATGCGTCTCAACATGTCACTGTGAGCGTAGAGAACTAAAGACAAGTTCTGTCAGTAATACATCTGATATGCTTGTTAGGGTGTCTTCAAAAGGATGTGTTTTGTGCCATGGAAAAAACAGTCAGGAGTAGTATCAAACTTTTAACAAAAGTCAAATGGACCTCTTCTCAAATCATTGAAATTTTGTAACAAGTTTCCAGGAATGCTTCTCCACATAAAGCATCAGTTTTTAGAAGGATCAAGGATGGTCTCAAAGATTATCCAAGAGATGGAAGGCTCTCAACCTGGACGAATGAAGAAAGAAGCAACTGTGCCCGAAGTCCAGAGATTTGTGGAAGAAGAACACAGAATTACCATGGATGCAATAGTTACTGAAGTTTGGATCTCACATCGTATGACATTTTCAAAATGAACACTTTGGCCTCAGCAAGCTTTCTTTTGTTGGGTGTCAAGAACGTTGTATGAAGAACTATTTTCATGCAACGTTGCATGAAGAGCTAGCTCAAAGAACTATTTTCTTCAGTCTTTTAAGCAAGATCAAAGCTAATAAACATGATTTCATGGAATGAATCATAACCAAGGACCAGTCTTGGATTTGCTAATGTGATCCAGAGGGCAAGGTCCAGTCAAAACAGCAACTTCTGAGGGGATCTACTGGGCCAGTTAAATTCAAGGAAGAGAGTCAGTTGAGAAGGTTTTTTTGGATTACAAAATCTTGATAGATTTTCTTGAAGCACACAGAATGATCATGAGGGCTTATTAGTAAGATGTTTCAAGAAGATGTAAAACTGCATTGAGAGAAAAAGGCCAGGAAAATTTCACTGAGAAATTTTGTTTTCTAGTAGGACGGTGTACCTGCGCATTCTTCGAGGGTAGCAAGGTCTGAAATCCATTGTGAAACCTTACCCTACCTACCTTACTACAGTCCTGATCTTGCCCCTTCAGACTTCTTGTGGTTCCCCAAACCCAAAATCATTGAAAAGAAAAACTATTTGAGTCCCTTAAGGATGTCAAAACTGCCATTTGACATGGTGTAAATTGAAGACCACAGATTGATTCATGGAAAGGTAGGAAAGATGGAAACACTGCTTTTAGAAGTGTATAGAACTAGATGGGGTGTATAGAACTATATGTCAAGAAGCCGTGTTTTCATATTTTGGTTTAATACACGTTTTATGATTTTGTAGCAATACTCTTTGTCTTACCCTTGTACATGGACAGAAAAAGGAATAAATTATCTTGGAGAAAGTACAATCAAAATGCTTCTTAAAAGCAAGGATGCTGAAACTTCATCTTGCTTATTTTGAATGTGTGATCAGAAGGGACCAATGACATCATGCTTGGTTGGTAAGGTAGAGGTTCAGCCAAAAAGATGGCAACCCTCAATAAGATAGATTGAGACAGGGACTGCAATTTACGCATAGCAAGGATTGCAATGATGGTGGTACAGGATCAGCAATGCTTCATTCTGTTATACCTAAGGTTGTTATGAATTGGAATCAACTCGGCGGCACCTCTTGTTGTTACGTGCCATCGAACTGGTTGTAGTTCATAACAGAATGTACAACTGCCCGGTCCTGCCACCCTCACAATTGTCACTAATTTTGAGCCCATTGTTGCTGCCACTGTATCAGTCCATTTCACTGGGGGGTTTTCCTCTTTTTCACGGACCCTCCAGAGATTGGTTCCCCCTGACAACATGTCCAAAATATATGAGACACAGACTCATCATCATCAATTTGAAGGCGCATTCTGGCGGTACTTCTTCCAAGACAGATGGATTTGTTCTTCCCGTAGTCCATGATACTCTCAATTGTTCAGTTTGCACATTCGTATGAGGCGAT